TCAAGTGTTGCGTAAATATTGTCATATCGTTGTATCCTCGGTCGACTGTTTAATGTAGCTTTGTAATGATGAAAACGAGGCCTTGTACAATGAAAAAACCTTGCGACGCGTTTGGTGCACTCCGTTGAGTCTTAATCTAATGAGCTTAGATTAAAAATTATGCTTGAAAATGTTTTTGCGAAATTACGCGATGATTTTATTCTCTTCTTATGAACGACCAAACGAGTTAGCCGTAGTTGTTTTCATTGTAGGTCTAACAGTGAACTGACCTCCACATTGAGATATTATCAACCATTCAAAAGTAGATTATTAAGTTGTTTGTCCGCAAATAAGGTCAGTTTGCAAACCGAATAAAATACAATTTCTCGTCTTCGGTAGATGTCAATCGCAAAGTCAACTTTCAATTGATCCTAGTCAAAGGAAAATTAAAGAAAAATATTCAGTGACGCTTTTATTGATTCGATAAATCCCAAGATTCAGCTTCAAAGCTTCGCTCGTACGTTGGAATTACTGTGACAATGGACACCCAATATTGATTTCATTTTCCCATTTTGGAAACCAGTCAAAGCGCCGAAAGGATAAGAGAATAAAATCCAACGCGAATTAGCATATAAATCGAGAGACACGGCGACAGGTAAAGACCCTTAAGAAGCCACTTATCGAGAAAGAAGCGATGGAAAAGTCGGTATTACGCATGGACGTGCGTGTATCTGTGCGTGCGTATGTTTAGGAACAAGGTACATTCCGATTTCGACGCGCGACGACGAAGAAAGGTCGGACGAACGGCCTTCACGATACCCTATAGAGGAGCAGCGGTACTTCGTCCGGCTGCAGCGAGACTTGCTTTCCACTGCCTTACGGCTGCTCTTTTTTTTCTGTCTCTCTTTTGTCGGGCCTTTTTCGGATGGATTGCGAACGCGCGACGTTCCGATCGAATTCTCCCCCCGTTTGGTGCGCGCGCGTTGTTGCATAACTTGTCAACATTCGAAAGAGCCGACCTTACGCGTGCCGCTTCTTTTGTTGATCGTTCGGCAAGCTCAGCTAATTAAAGTGAATTTGTAAACGCGAGTAATGAGCGTCTAGGCCTGGCGCGCGCGAGATATGCATGCAAATATGTACATGAAAGGCCTGCCTTACATGGCCTGGCGCATACACACAAATAATAATCCTGCGTCTTTCTCTCGCGAAAATTACATAATTGCATTATCCCGCGTTGTTAAAGGGACTTTAATGGGGCTTTTCGGAGTGAAGGCTCATTGTGTTAAATTACACATTGTTTATAACTCTTGTATATCAATTGTCCAACACTTTTTTGAAAATTTGTAACGCATGGATCTATGCAAGGACTAGGTGGCAATTTCGTTTGATTACTATGTTTTGTAGCTCGGATTATAGCCAGTGGAGATAGAAAATCATTGCTGAAATTCGAATTAAGAAAAAGGAAAGAAATATTTTTAGAGGAGCTATTCCGTTGAGACAAAAAAATAAACCAATATGTAAAACACTGAAACGCGTATCAGCCGATTCAAAAGAAACCAGTTTCCAAATTCCATAGTTTTCGCCTACGAAGTTACATTCTCAGCGGGACTTTTTCAGGCGTGGGCCTGACGACAGCGTCGCGGCAGCAGCCGGCGTCCGAACAATGCATCTGACCATGACCGCAAAGAAAGCAGAAGCACGCGTCGCGACGACAGATGTTGGCAATATTCCTTATCCGAGTTTTGGCGCATCCATCCCTTGCTTCGGTGATTTATTTCCGGCTAATTAGCCGAGTCAGAGGAGAACAAAAAACCGACGAGCCTTATCGTTTTCTGTCTTTCTTTCGATGAAAGATTACGATGACGGACGCGTTTAACGCTGATTAAGCCGGTAGACAGTGACGAGCTGCTCGGTTTGTGAAAAATGTCGTGCTTCCATGGCTTGTGTACACATTTATACATAAATTGAATAAAAAATAAATAATCTCGCGTCGATTGACAATTTAATTCCCAAGTTCTAGTTAATCAGCGGTACAAAATAGTAAATATCACCCCCCCCCCCCCCCCCCCCCAATAAAGTTTCGCCCCGCACATCCGAGTGAACCCGCCCAATTAAACGCCAAAACTATTCTACACTCTAAGAAGCCCATGGAGTAGAGCTTCGCTCTAAAAGTGGCAATTCATCTCTATACGGGCTTTGCCACGAAACCCGGACGAGAAAACTCAATCAAGTGAAGCTGTCGCGCACAATGGAGCATGGTGAATGGAGCTGTATCGGCTAAACGAATTTTGGTTAATCCACGCACAAAAAATACGAATTTTTACTCCGACTCTCCTTACCGTCGGCACATCGACTTTGGCAATATCGAGCTAGCGGGGAGGAATTTACGTGGTGTAGGAGCGTCTACCGATGGATACGGCGGTAATAAAAGCAATTTCACTCTACGGAAGAGGCGAGTCGAGCCAGTGCGCGTTCGATTATCGCCTTCGTCGAAGGAATTCCCTTGCTCGCAGTCGCGCGATTCTTCAATCTCAACGCTTTGCATCCTCGCCCGCGTCGACCTCGATGCGATTCGTTGTATCGCCATTTCGTCCATCGATCTGACTTTTCTCAAGCCACGGACAAGTCTTAATTTCACTATATCAAGCCGTACTTCCTGAACGGCGCTATCTTCGTTACTTCGGGGAGGGGGAAACTACGAGTCGGTGTATTTGTGTCCTTCTGTTCCCAAGATACATACGCGAAAAAATCATAGCGCGTGGCAAGGTATTTCTCGGCCGTATACGGCCTTCAGAGAGTGATAAAGCTCGAATTGTTTGTTTTTTGTTCGAGAAACCGAATGAACGATAAGTTTTTGGTGGCCGTCTCGAGTGCTTTCTCAGCGTGAAAGCTTACCGTGGAATGCCAACTGAATTAAGTTGACGCCTCATCGTGAGCTCTCGTACTAGATTCTTATAAAACGGATTTTTATTTGTTTTACACTGCGACTGTTGTAAGCGTATGCGTTTAGCTGTACTGAAAAATCGTACGCCTTTCCTTACTTTTACGGTAAATATTTATTCGAGCATCGCAGCAGTTTAGAAAATGAAAATTATACAGATTGGCCGTACACCAGTGAGTTTACGCGCTCACCCATGGCAAGCAACACCTCGGCACCTCGGGGCTGATAAGCAAAACGGATTGGCGAAAACGCTCACCACGCAGCTTATTATCATTATTATTATTATTATTTGTTTCATTTCGATTGCTGCACGCATCGATTGCAAAGTTAGGCGAATCGGCTGCATTGGCGACCTTGTACTCACCGCAGAAGTCGATCTCATTCTCTCTCTCTCTCTCTCTCTTGCGGTTCTTTTTCATTTTGTTGTCATTTGTGTCGCAAGAGAACACATTCACTAGTTTAGAATTGGTTAGATTCCTCGCTCGTGAAATATATCTGTATACACATCTATGTAGGGTAAAGCAAGTTCTTTTACTTTTGCCGTGATTTACGGCGATTTTAGTGGGTATGAGCGATTTATGGACTTTCATTATTTGATAATTGATCAAGAGACGTCTTGAACATCTGTGTGGATATTATAAAGTGGGAATGTCGTTTTGATGAGTGATGCGTGTAAACACTGGCTTGTAATGAAAGAAAAAAAAAAAAAAAAAAAAACAAAAAAAAACGCATGAGTCTTATGAATTATGAGGTGTGTACGATTCATTGGTAAATCATTTCTCTCGAGAGATCGATACAATGAGATGAACGTGGCAATAATGTTTCTGAAAAACAACATATTTGACATTGCGACACGGAAAACATGCTGCTTGAGTATCGTTTCGATGCACCACCACTGATAAATGGAGCAAGCATTGAACACAGCCAAGAGGCTTTTGTTCTTTTATTTGTAATAAGCGCCTTAACATTCGTTTGGCGATTTGTCAATAGAATCAGCATTTTTCGTTGGCCCGAGCGTGCATATATTTATGTTATCACTTCATACGGAATTCATGAAAGAAAAACGTTCATTCTCGATATATAAAGCACACCTATGCCATCGAATAAAATTATTATTGGACGCGGTGAGCCAACTACGTGCGCATTCCACGTTAAAAGCGCCCAGCACGACGTTCGCTTGACAACCGACAAAAACTTTGTCGTTATCAATGGTATTTGGATAGGTGTGTTTCGCGCGTCATCGTTTTATTTAGCTGCCTACTGTCTTCTTTCGGCCCTCGCGCGGTCAATGTATCACTTTTTCCGCGTCGGGAAAAGAAAAAAAATTGTCGCGCCGATGACTGGCCGAGGCGGCCGCTCATCTGAATGTAAATCAAACGCGGCAGTAGATGTACATTTATCCGCTCACGGCAGTGTTGTGATGGTGCAAGCGACCCGTATTCCAATGTTTACGCTGCAACTGACGTAATGCCAAACAATAATATTTGTATCGCTGCAAATTCCATAAATAAACTGAAAGTCGCGCCGGGAGCGCACTGGCAAGCCTGCGAATTGTAAAACCGAACCCCTCTATCCGACATAACCTCTATACACCTCTATACAACGAATCACATGATCGCTAAAAAAAACGCCATTGCGTCGGTTGGAAATAGTCAAAATCCTAGCGGCTGTATTATATAATTGTCGCGGTAGCGCGCAGCCTTCCGAATAAGCGGCAGGCCGATTTATGAATATCACGCGCGATATAGTCTGCCAAGTGGTGCCGTTTTCATCCGAAAATGCGATTCTAATTTTACCCGGGTATATGATTCCCGTCGTGATGTCAGCGCCGGTGGTATTCCCCCGTATAATTACACTGGAAATAGTCACACTGCTTTCCAGTCGGCATTCAAACGCGCACTCGAAAATAACCGACCGCGTCGGGGGCGCGTGTGCGTATAAACAAAATGTGTACGCGCGCGCGCGAAAACACAGACGCCGGAACTTTCCCCCCGTGGAGCCGCCTTCGAGGCTTGTTGCAGGCGCCCGCGTTGCAGCTCTAAAAACGGCAGAGAATCGTATACAACGCAGAGCAAAGTACCAGTGAAATGGAGTCGGGCGTCCGCTACAGCTTCGCAGTCGATTCGCCGCAAAAACACACGCGCGCGTGCACGCACGCACGCACGCACTCGCCGGCGAAGATTCACTCGTTCATGGTAGTGCGAATCGACACAAGAGTCACACCGCGTAATGGAACACTACCGACGCCGCCGGTTTTTGTATTTCGGAGCGGATCGCAGCTGCAAACAGTGCTTCGTAGCGTAACAAACTCGCGCTCACTCGCGAGCACACCACGGCGGTTAATGCGATACTGAACACTGAAGAGAGCACACACAGAGCAGCAGCACGGAGTCGAGTATATTGGCTGCTCCCGCTCTCTCTCTCTCTCTCTCTTTCTCTCTCTTTCTGTTCACGGCGGCGGTGGCGGTGGCTATCTTCGTCCGTGTGCGTGCGAACGAACGTGCTTTATAATAACGTGCAGCGACGGCAGATGCTACGTTAGCGCGGGTTCGAGAAGGGAGACAGAACAAGCGAGTGAGAGGGGAGGGGGGCAGATGGCCGAGTATGTATGCTTGCCGATCGCTCGTTTACCGACTAGAGAGAAGATGCTGCGGGAGAGAGACTTGAGACGTTGCTCTTTGTGCCGCTGATGCAGCGAAGAAAGTGATGCTGAGTACGGCATGATATGAGTGGTTGGTCTGTGTGTGCGAGAGGGAATTTTTTCCTTCGAAGAGAGAGAGAGAGAGCTAAAATTTATAGTGCATAGGGTTCTATGGAATCGAGCGTTTGAAGCTCGCGTGTCGGAATTCGTTTTGCGGAATTCTGTCAGACGCAGGGGAGCTTGAAAGAAAGCAATTTGTTTTTTTTTGTTTTTGGACCGTAAAGGCATCTGGAACTTTGAACATTATTCTTTGACAACGGAAATCAAAAGAAAACAATAAAGTCGGATGATTCACGAGATATTTAAATTTTTAGTATATATTAACATTTTTGTACCACCATTAGTCTAATTACATTTAATTATAAATTATGATAAAATCTGATAATTTAGCCGAGCCGTTCGCGTAGATCTTAATTAAAAGAAACCGTAAAGTAAATAAAAATATAAAGTATCAAAGCAGAGGGATTTCCGTAACGAGCGGTTGCATTCATCAAGTGGGGAAGTCAAACGAATGAAAAATAGCACGAGTGAGAGAGCAAAAGCGCGTTGGGAAATAGCAAAGCTGTGCGCGCGCCGCTGCATATATACATCCGCATAACTATACCGGGAGAGAAAGAGAGGGAGGTTGAATTAGCCTGGGGCCGCCAACAGACTCGACTCGTCCGGAAGCGGACAATAGAGGCCTTCTCTCTCTCTCTCTCTCTCTCTCTCTCTCTCTCTCTCTCTCTCTCTCTCTCTCTCTCTCTCTCTCTCTCTCTCTCTTTCTCTTGACGCACAGGAAAAGCGATGCACCGCCACTTTTCTCCCTTCTATTTACACCGTCATATTTATACTCATTTTAGATGATTATACCTACAAGTAGACGCTGCCTTGTATGGTTTGCTTTGACGAGTTGCCCGCGTGAGATTTGCATTAATAGCTTGCGCAAGTCCGCGAACGAGTTTTATGACTGGAATGCGAGCAGCGAGTGTATTGGCGTAGAGAAAATCAAGTGGGCTTTTGTGCGTTTGGAGATCGATTATCTAGAAATGTTCGCTTGGAAGAATCAATGGATCAACCTGTATTTGTAATAGAAGATGCATCAGTTTAATTAGACTCTTATCAACGTTTTATCACAGACCATTTAACTTTATCGTTCCATCTTTATACTTATAATGCTTCTTTCATTCTCAATTGGTGATTAAAGACTTATATAATACTGCATAGATGAAATATTGAGAAAAAGAAAGAGATCTTGCTGAGAATTATTATTATTATGATTGTCTGCCCCATTCTGGAAGCTGCATGCTTTTGAAATTTCTCAAAGTGATTGGTTGTAGCGATACTGGAAGATTGGGTATATCCTTTGCTATTGGTTCTATGGAAAATAATGGAGTATCTGGATCAAGATCATCCGGATCTACAATGTCTTCAAAGTACTCTTTCACTATTTTCCCTGGATCTGGATAGACTATGTTCTGAGCTACTTGTTGTTTTGCTGCAACTAAACATATAAACCATTGAAATACTGGACAAACATGTAATCAATCCCTAAATACTTAATATCACAACAAAATATACCCATCATTTGCAATTCATGGATTTGTTCTATTGTATAATGCGAATGTTTGCATACAGGACCAAATGAACATTCCCCTCTGAAAAATCTGTTGCATGGTTTTTTGTTCTGTTCCTCTTGTAATATTTTTTCTGGAGCTAAGTCAGAAGAAGCATTTTGATTTATATTTACTCATAAATAAGAACACAAACTGTCAATCAATTTACAGAAATAGAGTTTACCTTTAAAATGTCTGTAATGCTCCTCCTTATTTTTTACATGCTGCAAACTTGTAAGATGTTTCGTTCTTGCTGCTGGAGCATCTTTGAAATATCGTTCGCAATAATCACAGTAATAACACTTGCCCATTATGCTTTCTGCTAATCTATCAATCAATAAACATCGTTAATTTATACTCACGAGTTCAATTCAATTTTTTCACATTTTCATTGTTATTAACACCAACCTTACTGTCAAACTTGCACGTAACGCTGAAATTATAGCAAACACTAAGCGAGAAACCAAATTCAAAGTGCAGACTCACTTGATCAATCAACTTCCATGTGAGTAAACAAACTTTACTAACTTTTGATGTCGTATAAAGGTTAGGTTAGGGCACGGAGAAAATTGATTTTGATCAGCGCCATCTGTATAACTCAGGCTAATGCAATTGCCCGGTCCATTCAAAACTCCGAAGTGTTAGTAGTTTTTACGTCAAGTAGATAACAGTAAAAATTCTTACAGTTTTTCTTAATAAAATTCAATAAGGACGGGAAAACAAATGAAAAATACTCGGAGAGAGAGAGAGAGAGAGAGAGAGAGAGAGAGAGAGAGAGAGAGAGAGAGAGAGAAAGTAGATTTGGTAGGTGATTAGTTTATTTAAACAGATTACATTATATTCTCCATCATTTTTCGCTTAGTAATGTGATTACCACTGCTTGTTACATTTTGAATTTGTTTCTTTAAATTTCATCTAGTAATGCATATCAGCTCGATAAATTTATTTGTTTATTTTTCATTTTAGCATGGCGTGCGTTCGCTAAACTTGCTAATTTTTTTTCAAAGAGACAGGTGCATTACTGCGCTACCACAGTTAAGTATAGAAAAAAAAATCTGTCGTCTCGAGGTCGCATGTGAATGACTTTGTTTCTTCTTTTGCCAAAAAACTACTCTACATCAAGTATGCACACCGTATATGCTTCTACAGGCTACCGTTCACAGCGAATGAAATTAAAAGGAAAACATTTGGCAAACGAAAGGAAAAACAAACAGGTGCGCCAGTAGTTAAACGAAAAAACAAGTTTTTTAAATGCAACATACGGCTCGTCGCCGTGTGTATGTGTGTGTTTGTGTGTGTCTGTGCGAGGGAAAGCGACAAAAAAAGGACGAAATCGATGTCAATTTAGCGTCGCGCATGGATGCGTCCCTTGCGACACGAGAGAGGGAGAGAGAGCACGCGACAGACGGAGAAAAAACCTCGAAGTTAATAGTGTGCGAGTGTTGGTTTACTTGACGTGACATTTTTTGTAATAACGGCATTATTTGCAAGTCTCTCGTTAGCCCGTCGTCCGAGCTGCCTGAGCGCGTGTGTACATGTACCTTGAAGTCTATATGCTTGAGGAATTACGGAATTTTTTAAAGGAGGCGCGGGCTCGCGCAGACAAATGCGCAATACCAAGTAAAAAAGCTCTTTTTCCTCAGCGGCTTTTCTTTCTCCTTCTCTCTCTCTCTCTTTCTCTCTCTCTCTCTCTCTCGTGTTAGACTTTGTCATCTTTTTTTATTTTACGCTTAGATATACAAGGGTAATTTTTTTCCAGGAACCGGTCGACTAAAATGTGCGAAGCAGTTTTGTATACAAAGAGAGACAATTTTTAATTTCATTTTACTTTGAGGAGGGGGGGGGGGGGGGCGTGATAATGCAGTTTTTAGGCCTGCTAAAAACAAGCACACAAGATGCACACTAAAGGAGGAGGAGAAGAAGAAGAAGTGGTCTGAAATCACTAAGTAGCCGCAGAATTTTAATCCTGCTAAGTGCTTCCGCTCCAAACTTTATTTCAACATCCGGATTAACGTTTGAAACCAATTTGTACTTTAAAAGAAGGTTATACGTATTTTCTCTGAGCATTTTTACAAAAATTGATTTTAGACTCAAGCTTTTCAATAATTTTTCACGTATGCAACTAACATTTTTTAATTATTTCTATATTATTTGAGTACGCTAATGGAAACACGAAAATGAATGACGAAGAATCATCGAAACAATGCCATTAATTTTTTATATCGTAGACTAGAATATCATAAACGTTAATAAATAACAGTTTAACGACTAAATACAATGATAAAATCCAAGTAATCCTAAAAAATAATATTTATCAACTCTTGACTAGATTTTAATTTTTTTAAGCTAATGTAATGACAACAATAAAAGCTCTTTTTGCTAATGCAAAGAATCGCTGCACGGTACATCTTTTCTCTATGTACTTGCGTGCAATATGGTTACAGGTGCTTGTTTTGTCCAATGCTATCATTACGTATTTATATCGTCATTACCATAGAAAATAAACTAACACTTCGACACATATAATATTGCGCTTATAGGAAATACCATTGAAAAACTCAATACTTCGTTTTCACGTAAATGATAAATCTTGACCTTGTTTCTTTTCTCGTTTCTTTCTTTTTTTTTGGATTTTTCCTTCTAATGCGGACTCGTGCCATTACTCGCGCACGTGCCCAACTTTTTTGTATCAGCGATTGGTTAATTAAGCATCGTAATAATCAGTTTGGTCGTTCTATTGGCTAGCCTCGCGCGACTCGTAATGAAATTAGTAGAAAGTACTTGTATCTAGTTCCCCTCGTAGTTTCTCTTTTTTTCTTCAAGTTTCAAATAAATTTACGTTCAAAGCTTTGTTTTTTAATTCGTTTCTCTGTTTTACTTATAGATTCATAGAAATTAGTGGTGTTACTAGTTTCAAAGTTAAGGACATCTCCGTTGATTGTTACATTGCATGTATTTTTGTTGTATTTTCGGATATGATTCTTAAATTTTGAGTGATTATTATTCTGTATAATAAAATAATAGTTATACTGTTTTATTTGTCGTAGGATGTCGAAAATAAATTGAATTGCGTGATTATTCGGAATATTGCTTTTGCTTTTTGTACTAGAATATCGTGGTATTTGTATCTTGAATTTCGTTTTGTTAAAAAAAAAAACTGTTTGATTCGCGCGGAACGAAAACTGTTCATACGATGATATTGATTGTCCTCATAGAGGAATTATTTCCTATTTTTCTTTACTTCATCAATAAACAAGTCCGTAGAGAAAGAATTCAAATACTTAGTATTTTCCAACCGTATTAAATTTTCATGAATAAAACCGTCATCCATCCATCGATAAATATCAATTCCTTCAATACGCATAATCTTATATCAATTTCATTTTGAATTCGAATACAATCTCACTCATTTTTATATTTAGTATGTCTACAACATCGAAGAAATCTGTGAAATTGCACATAATTATTACTCATTTTTTGTTTACAAGAACAAGAATATACGTAATTTATTGAAAAATTATTGAAAAAAATGCAAAAAAACCTTGCAAGAGGCGACAGGCAAAAAAAAATTTCATTTTGATTGAAAACCCAAGGTACGTATAGGTGTACAATAATACTGTGCCAAATATATACGTACTATATAGGTATATATGTCATATTGTTGATGTGAAAAAATGAGTTTCATTCGATTCATATCGGTATACGCGCGTGTGGAATATTACGAGGTCTGACGATGGAATTTTTCTGCAAGTAGCTTTTCATCGATGGCATGTTTAATGTATAATGTTACGTATCATATAAGAGAGCGAAAGATGCGCGACGGGAGAAAAGGGGTTAGGAGAGAGATTCGCGATAGAGGAGAAAAAAATTTGTTCCCATTTTGCATAAATCGACGCGTCACGCTCCTGCAAGAGTGTTACATTTTTTTGTTTCACTTTTTTATGTGTACTCAATATGTACGACGAATCTCAAAAATACTCAGGTACACTTACAGTTTGTTTGTTTGTTTGTTCTTTGTATCCTCGTGTAATTTAATTGAATGTATGGAAAAACATTTCTGTTAAAGAAATCGATAGAACGCCGGGAAATGAAGTTAAATTTGGTTTTTCTGCATGGATGTATAACTTTTGTAGATCGATATATCGCGCTATATGCTACGCTTTATTTGAATTTGAAATTCAGGTCGGTGCGTTTGCGTAATGTATCATCATTGTCTAGACATTTTTCACATTCAAATTTTTCGCTTACAGGCGGAATGGAAAACTTCTTACGTGTGCCCCTTCACTGTAGCCGTATCGCTCAAACTTTGTTTGTAGATGCAATGTCAATGTTTTCGTTTAGATAAAATAAAGAAGAAAAAAGAAGCTTTTCACTCGAAATGAAAACACAACTCAGCTTTAACTCGTGTGCTTATCACCGTTTTATGTAATATTAAAAATTACGAAGAACGTAAAATAAAACTGTATAAGTTTTTATGTGCATTTATGTATATGTCTGTGTGTGTAATTAGACCATGTGTTTCTTTTCTGGAATGTACATCGGGCGTGTGAATAATGCGCGTCATTGCGCTCAGCGCTGTTTCAATAATCGCTGTTGGTGACGACATGCTGTTTTTACATTTTTTTTCATTTTTTTTTATTTCTTGCGGGGAGAGATAAAGATAGAGAAATAGTCGAGTGTTTACTTCTTCTCATCCACGCCTGAAATAGGCACTTCCTGACGAACCTTATGGCCACGGAAGCTAGCTTGAATCTTTGTCGCGGCTTTATGAAGGTCTGGGTCCGACAGATCGATACCCTCCAGCTCGTTCACCGCATCTGTGACCTGCAACACAAACACCAATACATTTTTTTTTTATAGTAATTCGGAGTTTTCTGGTAGAAATAGGCGTTAAAGTCATAATTTGTCGTGAGATAGAATTTGACGGATGGACTCATTAAGAATCTTTCTTTTTAAGTGTAGTTCTGGAATTTCTTAATTCTTTTTGTAATATTGTTGAAATGTTAGGCATTTTTCGGAGTAGGATTATGAAGTTTGCAAAATATAAGGTGTATGAAGTATATGCTTCGTGAAGTGCAGGTACAATTTATTTTTTATTTTAGTGATTGTTACAGACTTTTAGTTGATTGAAAACAAATACATCCGATTATGAATTAATGACGTGTAAAAAAGTTAATGATTTTCTTAGTAGGATTTTATGATTGACAGAATTTAGAAACTTCATTTCGTCTGCATTTGAAAGATTTCACAGTAAAGGATGCTATATCTTCGTACTACTTTTGGAATACTTTATACATCATATTCTCTGATGTTTTTTCCGGCTTCACTAGCTTTGATATTACGTGCAAAACTAGAAAAAAAGAAGGATAATTATTTCAAACAATACCAATAGCTTAAAAAGTATGCTTAAAATTTTGGTCTCTGTATAGTAAATTATATTCGTTAAAATAGAGAATACGCTAAATGCGATAATATCTGAGAGTTCTTTAGCATCAGCACTTTCAAAACACTTTTAGAAACTGCATCATAAGCAATTTTCGCAAAAATTCAATTAGCATTGAAATCTTCGTTCGCAAGCTCAAGTATTAATAGAATCTTCATTCGCGATACTACTTTCGCAACCCGTTGAACTTTCCTCATAGATACAACGAACGTTTTTTTTTCCTTTTTTATTCGCGATATCTGTTAGGAAAGCACGTCCTCGCGGTGAGTGGAAATCTTCAGAGTATACTTTGAAAGTTGTCGTTGTTTGCCCTCCAGTTTTGCATGCGCAAAAGTGAACGAAAATTCATAACTAATACTCCGCATCCTCTCCCCCCTCCAAGAATAAAAAGCACTTCTAACAAGGAGTAGAAAAAGAAGCGCACAGATGTGCTGTGCAAACTTTCGTGTATATCGATAGACAAACGCTTCTTTAACGAGCTTCGATAAAATCTTTTTATATCTTCCGTTAAGTTTTCAAAAATAATGACAAATAAACGTTTTATTTGCGATGGATTTTTAAATATGTTGGAGGGCGGTTTTTATAATTATAACCTCTGTAAGCGCTGTAATTATGATGCACTAAATTGACTAAAATCACGAATATTCTGTAACAAATTACGGTATTTTTAGGTGCGGGGCGTAACTAGCGGTTGCACTGAGAAACTGCCTGTAATAAATATGATATTACAATTTGACCTAAATCTAACTAACAGCCACGCCCAAATAATTAATGTCACCATTCGCGTAATGTCCTTTCTGCGCGCATAATGCCTATATTATTAAATTTATGAATGCACGTCTTTCTTGAATACTCACTCGATAACAATAAAGCGAAATAAGGATAATAACATCCGTTTTATAATTTGCCAATCGATACTGTCAATTTAAAACTAAATCCGACAAATATTTGATTGACGTATCGACTTATATTCTCAAAAACGATCGTATCAAAGTACTCGTCTTTTGACAAGACTCGACGCTATAAAAAAAAGCTCTTTTGAACTTTTTACTGCGATATATCAGTATTGTAATAGCGTGTGTCAATGCATACCCACAACTTCGTATAAGATCGTATACGATTGGTAAATCGACTAAACGGCGCTGGGCTAAGCGATTTTTCGCGCTTGGAAACGTCGATCCTTATATCAGGTAATAGCTTATAAAAAACCTATAAATCCTGATGCGGCTGTATCGCTCAATATCGCGTTAAAAATCAAAATCTACACGCGAGATTGTGCGCGCTTTATCTGGAAGACTTCTCTCATCGTATGCTCGCGTGAATTTTCCGCTATAGCCACGGCGAGCAGCGAAGCTTTTGCAAGTCATTCTTATGTTGAAAAGAGCTTGCCAGCGCTTATAGCTCTCGGCGTTGATGGACGCGAGGTGATACGAGAGTGAGAGGTTTCGCACTCTTTTTGTCAAGATTGAGAGATGGAAAAAAAATAAGTATTTTCACGCGAGCCAGAAAATCGACAATGACGGATGTCTCGGAATATAAATTGATCGATCTATATTTCAAGGATTATCCGAACAGAGTCTATATGTGCCGCTAGCAGTCATAGGGGGGATTACGATAGGTACGAGCATGTCTATGTATAATGTAGAGAATGCAGGTGTTGTGTTTCCTTGAATTACTGATGACGCTCCGCCATTTTTAGGATGCGATTACGAGATTTCTGATTATGTTTATTTATTTATTTTTATGGTACCGAGAGCCTCATCATTCCACTTGAGGATGTTTCATTGTTTGTTTTTTTTTTCACGTTTGCGAAATGCTGCTGAATTGTGAATGAGGAAGTATCGATTTTTTATTATGAATAAATGTAGAGACTGTTGAGGATAAATGGCTATTATCAAATCTTAAAAGATTTTTACGGGTTTCAACTTGTAATATGCGAAACAGCAAGTTCTGATGTGTTCGTCATTCCTGAGTTCATGATAAATAAGTCTCAGCGAGTGAATTAACGTTTGACAACGGCGCTCGCCGTAAGCTTAATTGAAAAATTCTTGTATTTCTAGGTGCAAAACATTAATATGATGATTTCCTTACTTTCGAGCAATTATATCAGCTAATTTGGTTAAATAAATAAATACTCGGGGTATATTCGTATTCATTCACCTCTCATTTCCTCAAATTATTATTTATACAAACACCACTATATCAAATACAAAATTATACATTTTTATCGTTATGCATATGAGATTTTAATTAATCTAGAATTAAACTTGATAAGATAAAGTAATATATTTAATCCTTTACACCATCGAAAGACAAGTAAATAAAACGTAAATTAATGTCGAGTTTCCAAAATGAAAATCACATTAATCGCTTCATAGGAGGTCGATGTGATCGTATATCTCAGTAGGAGGCAAACTCGCATGCAGTTTTAACAGGAAACTTCGCTGGCGCTCTTCGCGTAAAACAAAGGGGGTCACACACATTGCGCACTTAGATGAAATGAACTTTCCCCAAGAGTATAGAAGAAAAAAGCCAACAACTCTGAGATAGATTTTTTCCTACTCGATAGTCAAGTGTCTTTTTGTTTTTGACAGGATGAAATTAAATCTTCATGAGTCGCTAAATCGGCCAATCCAATATTTGTTACGGCAATGGAGATGACAAGGGAAGTTAATCTTTCACGCTGGATTTATTCGAGAATATATCTCCGACTCTCGCGTACATTGCCCAAGTGATTTTCAGTAATACGCTTACAGCTTTATTAGCTTAAAAAAAAGAGAGAGAGAAATACGATCGATGTGAGCTGTGTTGTTCTTGCTTTATTCGTATGCATGCGGAATGTGCTAACGAAGCTTTCATAAAACACGAATAGGAGGGCGCCGGAATATGCCGGTATATCGGTAAACTCTTATGGTTATTTAATGAACTTGTTCATGGAGCTCACATTGGACTTTCATGAGTTGTTGAGTATTTATTACAGATTTTACAGTCCGTCGTATGATTACTATTCACGAGTACTCTTAGTATTTATTTTGTGATTTCACATATTAGATTTCTTTGTTGCGTTAGCATATGCATATTATTAAAAACACAAAAAAGTCTTCGAGGCGAAGGTATTTATTACTTTTAATTACATCTATCATTGAAATTGTTCAATGTAGATAATGTTGTAACATTTAAAAGAGAATGGACAAGATAGAAATTTTCTGACTTGCGAGAATTAAAAGGGATAAAATCTTTTGAAAATTCCATCTAGTCTGGATGGAATTTTGTTTCATAATCGTGTTTTTTACTCTACTGAATAATATACCTCAGTTTACCGGCGGCTAATCTAGTCAGTATTTATTTAAACTATTTTTCTAACAAACGATTAATATTTATTTTTCAGCCTCAAAACAAATATTTTTCAATTAATAGAATAATTTTAAAAAAAGCTTCTTGTTCATTTTCACCTAAAGTTAATAGTTTTCGAGTAAAAAATTATTGAAAATTGAAAAAATTCCAATTTTGCAATTTTTGAAGCCTTTAATCAGCGTTAATTAAAAAATAACTCATTGTGAATAGCAAACGACCTACATCTAAACTTTCAACCTTTCTGTACAATGTCTAATAAAATCAGAAACTCAACGACAAACCCCATTATTGATAATAAACATTTAACGCGCAAGCGCGTCATTCATGGCAATGCAGCACAAATACTTAACCGACTGCTTCTACGCACTGTCGCGTCATAATAGAAGTGGGTTTAGTTAATTTATATGGATACAAGGAAGAAGATGGTATGTACTTATCATTATTTATAACAAAAGCTACATAACCAGAAAATTTAATAAAACCTTACAAATATCTAAAACGTGTGGCACTAAGTCTTGTAGTTGTAGAAAAAATAATATACAATGTGTTGCTTTATATAGATGTAATATAAACGAATGTAAAACTATACGATTTTCATTGTTTGTATAATTTAATATTGTTTTTAATAAAATGTAATTGTCGTGAATAGAATTAATTTATTTGTTAACATATAAATTAACTAAACTCACTTCTATTACGACATGGCAGTGCCGAGAAGCGGTCAGTTGAGCACCAGTATTCCATTGCCATGAATGACGCGCTAGTGCGCTAAATGTTTCTTACCAAAAATGGGGTTTGCCGTTGAGTGTCCGATTTTTTTTTAAGCATTGTAGAGGAAGGTTGAAAGTTTAGATATAGGTCAATTGCTATTAAAAATGAGTTGTTTCTCACGCTGATTAATAAATATAAGACTTCAAAAATCGCAAAATTGAAATTTTTTTGCTTTTCAATAATTTTTTACTCGAATACTATCAACTTTAGGCGAAAACGAATGAGTACCATTATTGTTCCAAATGATTCAGTTAAT